ATGTTCCTGTGGTGATTAGTGTTGATCATGGAGTTGTCTATTCAGAGATCGGAGCAGGCAGTGTATGAGAAGCCCTAAACCTTCTGATTAGTTTTGCTGTGAGCATGAAGTTGCAGTAAAAATGCATTATGGTAAAAACAACAACAGAAGAAGAAGAAGGAGAAGAAGAAGGAGGAGGAGGAAGAGGAGGAGGAGGAGGAGGAGGAGGAAAAGAAGAAGCACAGAAAACTAAGAAATTAATTTTCAGATGAGATTTGAATGAAGGTAGAATATAAAAATATTCACCATTAGAAGTACAGCTAGAATGGAAGACATCTTATCTCTTGCGTCCGTACATTGCCATGCATGGTGATGTGGCATAAGCAAGGATGTTATTGCCTACGAGAGAAGAGGTTGAAGAAGAGGAGATTGTGGTAGAGTGCCTTGACAATCTTCAGGTGTTTTGACTTACTTGAGTGTCACTGTTGGTTTAGACCCAGGAAATTGCATTTTAGAAAGATTGCTTTAGCATGGCTCGAGAGAAATATTCTAGAATGCTAGAAAATTCATTGATAAATTCTAAGCAAGGGATAGCATTTTTGGAACAATGGAGAAAAAGAATAGAAATGGAAAGAAGGATGGATAGGAATAACACAAAATTTAGAGAAGGTAAAGCCTAAGTTCCCAAGAAAAATGGGCAGAGCAAAGAGTTAGGAGAGAAACCCACAGGCAGCTGGATAAAAGACTCTCAAGAGGCCAGGTTTGAAGAACACAAATATTATTGCTGAAAACATGTTTTCCTACACTGTGAAAGGGATGACTGCATTTTTAGGACTACCTATAGAATGAAACCAGGTTAAATAAAAGTTGTGTTAGATTTTTTTTTTTTTCGAGACAGGGTTTCTCTAAGTAGCTTTGCGCCTTTCCTGGAACTCACTTGGTAGTCCAGGCTGGCCTCGAACTCACAGATATCTGCCTGGCTCTGCCTCCCTAGTGCTGGGATTAAAGGTGTTCGTCACCACTGCCCGGCAAGTTGTGTTAGATTATACTGACTTTATATACTGTATTTACACCTATAGTATACAACAGAGTCAATAAACTTTGAAGGGAAATTACAAGAGTTAATGGCACTTGATATCAATACTGAGATAGATACAATGGCTTCAGTGTTGCTGATAAAAGGTTATGGGATGTTGGAAATCATCACTATACTCATGAAAGGATGACAGCTCCTTTCATGTCTATTGACTAGAAGGAATGAAATATTAGTCTTTTTTTAGAAAAAAAATCCATCTCAATGACATAAGCAAAACAATGCCTGTATTTCTCAGTGGATTCCATATTGATCCTTGAAAAACTGGATTTCTTTTGGTAGGTACGGAAGAATAAACAGTGACTAGAAGAGCACTGTGGGCCACAGATTCTTGGTTTCCTGGTTTTGTGATTCATGTATACAATTCATTTAGTCTTTTTCATCAATTAAATTCTGTATATTTAATGCTACAGCATCTTAAATTTTGTAGATAAGAAAATTTAGGATTAGAGTATTTACATAATTTACCATCACCAAATCAAGTAGCTGGTAGGAATCTTTGAATGAAGACACCTGCAATGCCAATTGTAAGAGGAAATGAATAAATAAAGCATTTTTCTGCTAGACTTTTAAATTAAAAATGAAAATAATTGTTATTTATTATGTATGAATATTGTAATAGTTATGATTTTCATGTAATTATTTCAATTGTTAAAACATCAAAGTATCTACTTGTGATGACTACATAAGATACTTATAAGTTAGGATTAATTAGCCTTGGTGCCTGATTAGATTGGATATCTAGTGTAGTTATCTAATAATAGCTTCAAAGTTTCTTTTTCTCAAAAGCCCATATAGAGGCAAGCCTAATCTAAATGGTTAAATTAAAAATGCTCCACAAGTATGCCTACAGGCTAATTTGATGGAGTAATTTTTTTTTTCAGTTAATGTGCACTCTTCCCAGATGACTCCAGTCACACGGACAAAAAACTAACCAGTACAATTGACCCCACATGAACTTGACACACAAACACATCACTATTAAACTATAACTTTTCCTTGTTTTGTTTATCATGAAGATCTCAGAATAATATCACAATATAAAAAATAACTTTAAAAGCTTTTTTAAATGCTTTCTTACTCCATGAAGGAGGTGCCAAGACACAGTTACAACCAAATCAAAGAAAAACTAACATCTGGCAATGCAAATCAAATCCCATAGCTCAGTGTGTGGCATTTTGAAATTTCAATCATCTGTGTTTTGAAGGGCTTGGGAAACTCCATCTATCCATCTCTGCCGCCCACAGCACACACAGATTGTGTTGTAGGCTCAAGCTAACTCTGCTACACACATCTGCCATTATGCCTTGTGGTCATCCCACAGCCTTGTAATCTCCAAAATCTTTGGTTCTCCACTGCAACTGAGGCTGTGCCTTCACCAATAGCATCTCCTGGGCCTTATTCAGGGACTCCAACCTCACCACATGATGGAAAGACTAGTTTCTCTCCATCATCCCTTCGATGCTGCAGATTTCATGCCAGCAAACTCACTACAGGGGAGACTCTTACACATTACCAAGCTTAGCTGCCATCCTGAGGTGCAGCCTTGGTTGCCCTGGGCTGTAGCTGTATGCTGACTCTGAGGAAATACTCCCCAGGAGATTTCACTTCAAAGATGCTCTTGTTAGTCACAGCTGAGTTTTCAGCCCCCAATAACCAACATATACTGTCCAACTAATGCAACTTTTATTTAAGTGGCTCTTGTTTATTGTTAATTGCACCCAATTCTTCAGCTCTAGCAGAAATGAGAGCCTTAATTCAAAGTATTACATGAATAGCCCTGATAGTCCTCAAGGGGTTCTCAAACTTCACTCTGACATTTCACAATCCATCGGATTTTTTTCTCTACACTCCTGTCTTCCAAGCTCCCATCGAACAGCACATTAAGCTTTGAGCAGTCAACAGTTTTCCAGCCCAAAGCTTCAAACACTTCCACAATCCTTCCAAAAACAACATGGTCAAGTCTGTCACAATAGGTACCAATTTCTGTTCTACTTTCTACTGCTGTGATAAAACACTGGCCAAAACCAGCTTAGAGGAGGCAATGGTTTATTTCATTTTGCAGCCTACAGTCCATCCTGAAGGGAAGTCAAGGGCGGGAACTCACGTGAGGAACTGAAGAAGCAGCACTATGGAGGAATGCTCATCACTTGCTTCTTACCCATAGCTTGCTTAGCTCCCTGTCTTAAGCAACCCAGGACCAGCTATCCAGGGACTGCACAACCCCCAGTGGGCGTGACCCTCCTTCAGCAATCAGTAATCAAGAAAATAACCCACATGCTTTCCTACAGGCCAGTCTTATGGAGGCCTTTTCTCAGTTGAGGTTTCCTCTTCCCAGATAATTCTCGCTTGTGTCCAAGTTGATAAGGACACTAAGCAGCTCAAATATAAAACAAATTATCTTGGTTGACTGAAACATGAGTTTCTGCTAAACATGAAAGTTTATGTTATTAATGCAACAAAATTGCCACTGCGGAATACCTACAGTTACTAGAATCCTGTGTCTTGTTTCCAGAGACTGTTTTATTGTTATATGGTTGTGTTAGCTGACTTGTTACTCTTCCTTTTATAAGTACAGGTATACTTGACAACTCTAAATAGTCTGTTACTTAGGGAGCTAATTGTGGTGTCAGTGGCCTAAGAGAAGCTTCATGAAAATAACATTATAGTCATTTCTCATTAGTGTTCGCTATGAACACTTGAAATAAAGTTCCTCTTTTTTCTTCCAATTTTGTGCTTAATTGGTGTATTAGTTACTTTCCCTGTTGCTGTGATAAACAATGGCACAATTTCAGGAGGAAGGTTTATTTTGGTTCATAGTTTGAGAGTGTTGTCTATCACGATGAGGAATTAATGGTGGCAGGGACTCGAGGCTGCTGGTCACATTATTTCTGTGCTCAGGAAGCATAGGACAGTGAATTTTTAGTCTCCCCTCCCCTCTTTTTTTTTCTTTTTTTTCTTTTTCATTCAGCCCAGACTCTAGTTCAGGGACTGGTCACAGTGAGAGTGTCTTTCCACTTCAATTAACCCAGTATAGATAATCCCTCAAAGGCATGCCTTGTGTCTAAGCTTATCTAGATAAATCCTCAATCATTTCTATTGGTCTGTCTACCACGTGATTCTAAGTCCCATTTACTCATTGAGATTCAACTTTACAGTTGGGGTAGAAGTTCTCCAAAATACAGGTAGTAATCCCATGCACGTTCAAAATTGCCTGGAAAAGTTATTTTTGGAAGATAGCACAATATATTTTGTAAAGATGATCACTGAAATAGCATAACATTGAAATTTTAACTTGGTTCCTGCTTCAAACCTAGAAGAGACTAATTATTTTCAGCTTCAACCCTGTGTTACTATTCTTTTATTTGGAGCAAAGACAAACATAAACACTCTTTTACTCCAAAACTGCAATAAAGGTTAGAATCTATACTTGATCAAATTTGTACTCTTAGAGGTGATTTGTTATCAACAAAATTCTTAGAACTCTACCTGTTACTGCTTAATCTTTTCTATGATTGCTAAATTGACATTCAAAGTGTTTCAAAATGCCTCTAAACATTATAGCAAAGACAAGGTTTAAAGGTAGAACCTGTATTCTTGTATTTACTTACATATTATTTTGAAAAAGGTTTCTATCTATATTTAGCATCACTCATATAGGTGACTTATTTTTAGATATTTATTAGAGTTTTTGAATTTTATTTGCATAATGAATTATATTTTTTAGAATATTAATCTTAAAGCTTTATTTTAGTAATACACCAATTTTTCTCAGAGTCAAAGTTCAGTCATTTGGAAAATAATGTTTAAAAGATACATTTTTTGTCTCTTATAAATTTTTCATATATTTTTAATAATTGTTTTCTGACAGGAAAATGGCTGATTACTTTCTACATACTAAAATGTGATTTTTTCCTATTTATTGTAGGTTTTATTGGGATTTAATAATGCTTATAATGATGGTTGGAAATTTGGTCATCATACCAGTTGGAATCACATTCTTTACAGAACAAACAACAACACCATGGATTATTTTCAATGTGGCATCAGATACCGTTTTCCTATTGGACCTAATCATGAATTTTAGGACTGGGACTGTCAATGAAGACAGCTCTGAAATCATCCTGGACCCTAAAGTAATCAAGATGAATTATTTAAAAAGCTGGTTTGTGGTTGACTTCATCTCATCAATCCCAGTGGATTATATCTTTCTTATTGTAGAGAAAGGAATGGATTCAGAAGTTTACAAGACAGCCAGAGCCCTTCGCATTGTGAGATTTACAAAAATTCTCAGTCTCTTGCGTTTATTACGCCTTTCAAGGTTAATTAGATACATACATCAGTGGGAAGAGGTAAGTCACCTGTTTTTCTTTCTTAAAGCCACTGTATCATGTGATTTTCATGACTACAATTTGAATATGTATGTGCTATGTTTAATGACTTGCATGAAATTTAAGAACAAATAATTCCCAGAGTTCTCTTTTCTGGTATTCAAGTGATATTTGGATATTTGAAAGAATTGAGCCAATTGAAACTAACTATAAAACATTCTACCCATTGAATATATTTTAAGCAAATACACTTTAACTGATGTATTGTCATCCTAGTCACTGGAACTTCTCCCATGCCTTGGGAGATTGTTTTTATTTAAAAAGAATACATCAAATTTCTTCTTTGACAAAGATGTTTAGGGTATGATTGGTAATCTAATATATCATCATGTATAAAAAATGCTGGCATATGTTTCTAACAATATTGGAATTTCAGTGAATTTATGATTGAGAAAAATACATCTCCTTGCTTATCTTTCAATTCTACAAATTCATATTTGAGTTTAGCATACTAAGCCTGTTCATTGGTTTTTGTTGCCTACAGTTATTCATTAGTTTTCCTCCAATTAGTTCATTTCATAATAGTGAAAAAAAAACCCACCATACCTAGGAAGGAAATTACTACATAGAAAACACAAAGGAATAAATGCAGTGAATCTAGCCAATTAGACCTCTTGGCTGCTGAATAGGGCATCTGCTGTTCTTAGACAGTGGGTGGGATGCTGAAAGCGCTCTGCCAACTGACGTTTCCAAAGGTCTGAGTTAAATATACCACCATCAAGCAAATAAGGACCTCTTTCCACAGCTAGCATATTAACCTTCTTTGGCTTTTTCCTTCATAAGCATGGCTCTTTGTATTAATTATAAACTGGATTTGATTGTCTGCATAAGAACAAGAGCTCAAAAGACCTCCAGATTACCTAATGGAACACTGTAATGAAAGTCATACACTGACTCTGGATTGTTGTGTTGCTCCTACAGAAATGCCTTTTGGTATCTTAAAAGATGAATTATGGTTTTAAAGAAGTCATAAAATGCAAGTTTTATTTACTTTCTGGGCAGCTGTATCAATGTTTTTCTGTCGGCTTGTCAATGACATTTTGGTTCACAGGATTTCAGGAAATGACATGCAATAATAAAACACTGCATAATACACTGATGAAAGCCATAAAATGGATCATTCTTAAAATATGGATCTGGAATATATTTAAAAATAAATGAAGCATATTTGAGAAGATAGATTCACTTGTAACATTTCTAGCTAAACGGAAATTGATGTCCAGTTCTCAAAGCTTTTTTTTTTTTTGCAATAATTTGAAAATAACAATTGAAGATGATTCTTCATAATAACCAATATTTATTGGGGAGATTGTATTAATGACAAGCAGTTTTTAATTCTTTGTACAAATTTGCTCCCTGAATCTTCTCTACAACCCAAAGAGATAAATTCTATTGTTGTCGTCAATTTCAGATGATGACAAACACTCTAAGGCTCCTTGCTGGGACTCAGAGGCTGGTAAGGGGTGGAGCTGGGATTCATATGGCAATCAGACCCCAGATATAGGTCTCACTGTAGTTTGTACTCTTTTCTTTATAAACATCCCATTATACTACCATTTTTTAAAGATTGTTTATGGGACTCTACAGAGCTTTTCTTACATGAGAATGTGGTCATTGTAATATTATAAAACTGAACAGCTACTCTTAAGGCAAGGACAAAAAAATATTTTGACATATAGTCAGTGAGAGAAAAGTCACAGATAGAGCGACCCAGTCAATTAAAAATACAGTAGGCAGTGTAACTATTTTTTAATGACTTTCAGTTTTAACCCAGTTATCCCAGGGAATGGCAGCAGGATGAACAGATGGCATTCTATCAGATAAAATGACAGAGCATGTGGTCAGAGAGGACACTCCTTAACACCGACGTTTTCTGTTCCTGGCAATGGTCACAGGCACCTAGATCTGTGTGGCACGACAGAATTTTAAAGGTGCCTGCGATGTCATTCAGAAACATTAACTGTCTGATATCATTATTGTGAAATGCAATTTAATATGCACTTAGTGAGATTTGCTAACCACATGCATTCAGGAGAGAGTTGTGAGTTGGCAAGATCTTTCTTATAAATAAATGACCTTGGTAATAAATGAATCAGAAGCTCATTTAGCTGAAGAATGTTTTCTTGGTTATATGATACACCCATATAATAATACATATCATGAATGTTTAATGACTGATAGCAATACTCTTACTAAAGATGAAGAAATGGAATCACACTCCAGAATTTAATACAAATTCATTTATTCCACCTACACAATTCAAACTATAATCACAAAGAAACTTGAATGGCTCCCAAACTGGCATGTCTCTACCTAACTTTTATAAATGCCACCAGGGTGTGTTTACAAGTGGAAATACAAGTTAATCATCAGAAGTAGCTGTATGGGTTTTTGGATTAAGACTGCAGAGGAAGAGATGAGTTCACCCACATGTCTTTGAGTTCTGAGTGTTTTAGTACCAGGCTGGCTAATGCTAAATTCAGCAAATTTGGGGAAGTCATGTGTGAAGTCTGGAAGCTGCCACTGTTCTAAATGAATCATTCCCAAGGAAAGCAGCTGCCTGCTATAGGGAACTGTGTTCATCATTGGTGGTGCTTTTTTTCCCACCCCCGGCCTGGATTAGTTCAACTAAAACACAACAAGAGTCTCTGAAGCCAGATAAATTAGAGAAATGTTATGAATGAGATGCAGGAAGTTTGACATTTGCCCTCTGTGGTCCATCAAGGCTACGTGTAAATGTGTAGGAGGAAACAGTTGATGAGGATGATCAATTTATAAATGCCCTAGGGTTAAGGTATCAAGGGGGAAGTTACTTTCTTAAATCAATTGTAAGATCAATGATTTAGAGTGTAAAAACCGAGCTTTTTGACACTAGGTTGAAGTTTTATATACATAATCAATGATATGGAAATCTGAACAAATTAGATAAATTAGACTATAATTTTTTTTAGTAAGATCCTGAGCAAATGAGTTTTCCTTACTCTTGTATTTTGTTTTTTTTTCTTTATTAAGAAAGTTTTTTATTCATTTTACATATGTATTTTGGTTTTTAAAAGTCATTCCCCTAATTAAGTGATATTACTTTTCTTATGGTTGACTTTCAAGTATGCCAGAGTTCCATGCCTGATTGCTGTTTCATAATCTATCACAGGGGAAACAATTCTGTATGACCCTCCAAAAAGACACATATGGTGAGGAAATCCTTGAAAATTAAATGGAACATTATTAACAATTTGTGATGATCATAAACCTCTAAAGAGATAAAGACCAGATTAAAAGCTTAGCAAACAGGGGATTATTCGCTGTATAAAAGTGAAGGGTTCTCAAAACCTCAAGTGCCCTTTTATTGACCTCAGTCTTTTTGTCCAAGGGAGATGATCCTTGACCCATTTTAGAGACTTGTAAAATATTAACTGAAAGCATATGCATCACTTTGTGTGCAGTTACTATGGAATGTGACTACAATCCCAGAGCTAAGTGGGAGACTGGAACAGGAGGATGACCATGAGTTCCAGGCCAGCCTGAGCTGTGTAGTAAGATACCAGCATAGAAATAATGGAATGAAAAATAACATTTGAAGGAAATGTTTCCCTTCTATAGGAGTTATCCAATTACAGGGTTCAGTATTTCAACTAAACTAGACATTCTTTCATGGATCATGTAAAAGATGGAGTGCAATGCGTGATTGTATAGTAACCATAGCTTTCTGGTACACAGTATATTTTGTTTAGTTCTCATTTCCTCTCTCCTTAACTTCTTTTGTGTGGATTTTAGGCATATTACAATCAAGTAAATGTACTTCGAGGCAGGAAGGAAGGCTTGTAACTGAATATCTTAGGCATAGCAGTTGCAGATAGATAATTTGTTGACATGTTACAGTGTTTTTCTACTAATCAATTTTAGATTATGACATTGGATTAGAAGATTTGTCTACTATTTGTGAGCAGTAACACAGTGTTGTTAAGGAGACAGTCTTATAGGAAACTAAGATACAATTTGGTTTCCAGTTTTTGTTGATTTTATCATGTTATTTGCTTCAGATTAAAACTTTAACTCTTTGTATATATTATCTGGCTACTAAACATTTTAATGTATTTTAAGCACGTTTGCTTTTAGAAAGCACATAAAACTTCAAGTCTTGTCACAAGCAAATAAAATGTTTGCCCAAACCTGTCCTCTACTAGAGTGTAGAGAGGTTTGCTCTTACCCATCACATCCAATCTGTATATCTTTGATGTGCCTCTGGGGCTCTGCTGCACACTGCACTCATTTCAGCCTCCTCACTTTGCACCAATATTTGCTTGTTTTTAGTTTCACTATACCTGAAAATAACAATTATCCTCATTACAATTAGGTTGCCCATGCAGCACCTCAGATTGGAAAGTCATTTTTTTCTTTGTCTGTCCTTTAAAAATTGATTCAAAATCATTTCCAGAATTTATTCTATCTGGATGCACTCAGTTGTAATAGCCAGTACTGTTATACTGATGTATTCTTCCGGCTCTGAATATTTCAGCTCATGATAGTCATGTGTGCTATCCTTGCCTTTTCTAGACATGAACATTTAAATGGAAGAGTCACTGTCCATTTTGTCCTTGAGTCTCCTTGTGTACTAGGATAGGATCTTTTGTTTGTTTGTTTGTTTTTTGTTTTTTTTGTTTTTCGAGACAATGTTTCTCTGTGTAGTTTTGGTGCCTGTCCTAGATCTCACTCTGTACACCAGGCTGGCCTCGAACTCATAGAGATCCACCTGGCTCTGCCTCCTGAGTGCTGGGATGAAAGTCGTACACCACCAACACCCAGCTGGATCTTAAACACAATATATTATTGGGGCATACAATCTGTTACCCACATGATAATTTAGGTGCTAAATCCATTAAATGTATAAATAACATGCATTTTTTTTATGCTGAAGCATTTTAAAGTAGTGTTTACTTCTAGATAGGTAACACATACAAACA